GTCCCGGGTTCGAGGCTGCGGCGCGCGGAGGCAGCGCGCGAAAGGATCCTGGGGCCTGCGGCGAGCTCTGGCCGGCTTTGTAGCCTCGGGGAGGGCCGGGCTGGGAGCGCGCCGGGCTCCGGACGGGGAGCGGAGCTCCACCCTCGCGCGGGACGCTGGAGTTGTGGCCGGAAGGGACCCTGGCTGCCGAAGCGCGCGGGGGCCGCACGCGCTGTGTTCTGCTCCGCGGCCGCCCGCGTATTCCGAAGCAGTCCGCGTGCTCCCGGGGCTGCTCGGGTCGGGAACCGCTGAGGACGGGCTGCTCCGGGGACGCGGGAGCATGTAGGCGTCGTCTCCCGCACTAGTCCGCCTTCAGCGCGCACGCACGCCCCAGCCCAGCTCGGCCGGAGCTGCCCGCACCCAGCTGCAGTCCACCCCGCGGAGCTGCGGTGCCTGCCACCGAGACGCGCACAGGGTTCTCCCCGAGTTCCTGGCTCCTGACAGCTTAAACTCCTTCAATGCCATTGGCTTTCCCCCACGAATAGTTACAATACAAAAGAATAAACTGGTTTGACTTTTGTTTCCATTTTCAGATCTCTTAGAACATATCATAAACCAGTAAAGCTAGCTATTGTAGTTTATAGTTACTGTCCTTTTTAGGATTGGACAAACCTCGAAAGTAACATAGTCTCTTCAAAGAATAAACAGTTCCAGTTACTACAAAATGCAGTCCTGTAGGCAGTGTCCACTGCATCCCACAGTCTATGCACCTACCTTAAGCTCCGGGAAGGGTATCTACACGTCTCTCTTCCTAGCCACGTCAGGAGCCGGCCCCATTATGCAATTTTTAAGTCTTGGTGCAAAATGGAAACGCAGTGCTCTTTGTTGAAAAAGAGGGGTAAAGGGCTGGGGAGTTAGCTCAGCAGCAGGGCGCCTGCCTGGTAAGTGCAAGGTCGTGAGTTCGATTCCTGGTACCGGAAAAAAATTTTAAAAATTAAAAAAAAAAAAAAAAAAGAGGGGGAAAAAGTACCATTACAGGTGCTAAAATGTAAGCTGTTTTTTGTGGTATTGCTGTTGTCCAGATTTTTTTTTTTTGCCATAAGGTCTTACTGTGTAGCTCAGGCTAGATACTGACATGCAATTCTTCAGCTTCCCGCGTGATGGGATGACAGGCATTACTGGACTCTGTCCTGGTACTGTTACATTAGTATTAAATGTCATTCCAAGTACAGAAAAACTTATTAGTGTAAATTTTACCATTTTTCTTTATATTCCGTATTGCTGGTTTTTAATACAAACGTGAACATTTAATTTGAATGCAGGATCACTAAAATTTCAGAGTTGTTATTTTATAGCTCATGCAATCATATGTACTTCGTTTTTGTTAGAATACGTATTAGAAATATTTTATAAAACTGAACTGTTTTTATTTTACTTCTTGGTATATATACTTTCTGGCATCATTCTGTCGAGTCTGGCAATTTTGAATCTCTATAGACTCCCACACATGGTGTGTCCAACAGAATTCCATGCTACACGGTACACAAACATTTGATGCAAACAGGCGGCAAGGCATGGTATACACATACTGTACCTGTCTCTTATTCGTGTTTCACTGTCCTTAAAATACAAGTTGAGTTCTTAGAGTTGGAGGTATAGCTTAGCGAGTACATGTCTAATGTGTGAGACCCTGGGTTCAATCCCAGCACCAGAAAAAAAAATTGATATGTGAATATGGTGGCCTTTTGTGACTGACTGCACTAGTTGCCCCCTACCTGCCCTATCCTACAACCTTATAGTCTGACACATTGTAAATGTTCTGTAAATCATTGAGGCTAAACTGGTACTTTACCACTGTATGCTAGGCGACTGGAAAACAGGTAAGACTGGAAAACATGCCCACTGGAGAAAAGAGCATGGCACATATCACAGTAATGCTCTAAGTGCTATCCGATTATTTTAAAACAAATTCTTACTTTTTGTTAGCTGAAATTCCTTTACTGGTAAGCCAGCCTGGTATGTTATGATGAGTTCTGGCTTTACAGTGAGTTGCATCTGGTTTTGAATTGTTCTCTAACAGGTTGTGATCATGATCATGGGTAAATATATTCTCTCTGGCCATATCCTCTTTTGTAAGAAAAGACTTGTCATCATTGGGAGAAGTTTCAAGAGAGTGTCTATAAAGTGACTTACAGTGTCTGGTACATAGGGTACACCCAATAAATTCTGACAAGCTTAGTTGTCTTAGTTGGTTGACCCCTTTGGATGCTATCTATGTAGGGAAAGAAGGACAGGCAGGAAAAGGGATAGAAAAAGGCCTCGGTGAGGTTTTTGGAAAATCCTGACTAGGAAGAGTTAAACACTTGCTAGAAAGAACAATTAAGAGAAAAAATCAGAAAGAACCCTGATAAACAGACTCTGGCCCACTTGGTGCCAGGGCCCCAGTTTACCCCACTCTACCCCCAGTTAAGGACAGGCGAGATGAAGTGGGGAAGGAGCTACATAACAAAAAAACCCTCAGTATATAAAATGCACAGTCTGACAAAAAAATGTATACACACTTCAGCAGTTCACAGTACTAATAAATGTCTGGAAGCTAATGGCCACTACTTTGAGCACCTCTGTAGAGGCCAAAGGTAACATGTGTTAATCTCATGATGTCTCAATAAATTTAGTGTTAAGATATTTATACAAGTTTTTCTTTTCCTGTATGTGTACATTTTTGGTGGCATCTGTGTATACTCCTACACACACACACACACACACACACACACAGTGTCTCACATTATTGCACTAAAATGTACATGTATCCCTTTACTAATTAACTTACTTGTGTGTAAGGCCCACCATAAATTGTAGCCATAGAAGACAGGACAAGAAGGCCAAATGTGCTAACCCATGAATTTGCAGGTAGGCAGTGGAAAGGGCCTTGGCCAAATCAAGGGTTTCAGAGCCTAAAATAGCTGATCAAGTTGTAACAAATTTCAGAGGGGAGTGTTTCAGCCACATAATACAAGGGACTTAAAATGGGGCAGGGGGGCTTTGGACCCACTGCCTTGCCTCCAGCAAGGTAGCTGTCTCTCTCCCATTTCTCTTCCTTTTTTCAAATAAAATGATCTTCTTTTTTCCTTCTAAACTTGTATTTCTAGTTCTTTCTTTGTATAAGTATACGATTCCTGGTTGGTCAAAGCATGACTGCTATACACACTCCTGGATGGGACATCTACAGCTCTCTTATCCAACTACCTCCTATTTCTAGCTCCTTTTCTACATCATACCCTGTTTCTGGGCCAATGTCTCCACCAGTTAAATCAGGAGAGTAAATATTGTTTGCCTTCCTCTGGCCCAAGCCTAACCTGAAGTCGCTCTGACTTTACATGAAAATCTTTGTCTTATTACTTCAACTTCACATGTTCCAGACACTTAAACATACTCCTGCCACACTGCTTTCTGTGCTGGTGGCTTGTGACATGCTCTACATTTCTAAACAAGTTATTCAGGCTGCAGCCCGCTGGGGCTGGATTTCCTTTGTATGTTTTGTGTGTGTGTGTGTGTGTGTGTGTGTGTGTGTCTAACTGGGGATCAAACTCAGGGCTTCTTGCATTGGACGTGTTTCTAATTTGTTAGAGAAATAAAACAACTTTGTTTAGAGAGCATAAAGTTTGTAAAATTAGGATTAGATTTGAATTTAACTTGAGCCTCAATCCTATTGTAAGCAGAAATATTTAAAGTTCTTTTATTATATCCTCACTAAGTAAATATACTACTCATTGTGCAGATCTTGACATGATCATAAATAATAAAGTACCTTCTGTTTGCCTGACAAAGAGTACAATAAAATGTTAACATTTGGGAAATCTGGGTGAAGTATATACAGTAATTTTTTGTATATAATATCTGTCAATCTGAAGTTATTTTAAAAGAAATGGTTAAAATATCTTTGTCCTTAGCAATTACAGATATGTTTAAGGGGCCGGAGATATCGCTCAGTGGCAAAAGTACCTGCCTGGTAAGCACAAGGTCCTCAGTTCTGTTCCCAGTACCAAAAATATATATATATATATATATATATATATATATATATATATGTATGTTTAAAATACTTTAAGTATGATTAATATATTATTTGGGGCCCATTATCTAGTTATTTATATTTAATTTAGGAGACCAGATTAAGTACATTTAATAACTAACTTAGAGTAAATGCTAAAACGTTAAAAAAAAAAGTGAATGCTAGTATTTGATAAAGTAGTATTGAATGTTTCCCGTCCCAGCTACTCTAGACACTGACGGAGGAAAACTGTTTTAGCCTAGGAGTTCCATCTCAAGCCTGGGCAACAAAGGGAGGTTCCATCTCAAGAAAAAAATGTATATACTGCCTGCCTGGCAAGTGCAAGGTCCTGAGTTCGATTCCTGGTACCAAAAAAAAGAAAAAGTAAATGTTAAGTCCCAAATTTATGCAATAGCATGTTTATGGAGGCTGTGTTGTTTGGGAGTATTGAAACTAGAAACACAGCTAGACATGATGGTACACACCTGTAACCTTGGTACTCGCCTAAGGGGCTGAAGCAGAGAGATTGCAAATTCTAGCCCAACTTGGGTAATTTAGCAAGATACTGTGTCAAAATAAAAAAATAAAGCCCAAGGGCCGGGGCTATAGCTCAGTGGCACAAGAGCCTGCCTGGCAAGCACAAGGTCCTGAGTTTGATTCCCAGTACCAAAAACATAAATTAGAAAAAAAATACAGCCCTGTGTGGTGGCCCAGGTTTGTAATCCCAGCACTGTGAGTGGCTGATTGAGGCAGGAGGAGCATAAATTCCACCTCAGCACATGCCACTTAGCAATTTAATAAGACTCAGCCTCAAAGTAAAAAAACTTAAGCTGGGTATGGTGGCACATGCTTGTAACCCCAGCACTTGGGAGGCTGAGGAAGGAGGATTGTGGCAGTTTGAGGCCAGCTTGGGCGACAAAATGAGTTCAAGGCCAGGCTAAACTGCATTGCAAAACACTCTCTCAAAAAGACAAAAATTAATTAATTAATTAATTAAATTTTAAAAATTTAAAAGGGCAGGAGATGGAGTTCAATGCAAAGGCCCTGGGTTCATCCCCTGCCCAAAAAAGAAAAGAAATTCAATTTGTAAGAAAACTTCAAGCCAGGTGTGGTGGTACGTGCCTTTAAAACCAGCACTTGGGAGGCTGACACAGGACCATCACTGAGTTTGAGACCAGCTCAGGCTACGTAGTGAGAGTGAGTTCCAGATTAGCCTGAACTACATAGTGAGATCCTATCTCAAAAACAAACAAACAAAAAATAAAAACTACAAAGCTAAAAAATTGTTTTAAAAAGTTTTTGGAAGACCCAGCCTGGTGTGGTAGCACATACTTGTAATCTCAGCTCTCAGGAGGTTGAGGGAGGAGAATCACTGCAAGTTCAAGGCCTGCCTGCCCTATAAAGTGAGACCTTGTCTCAAAAACAAAACAAAACAAAACAAAACAAAAAACTATTTCAAGTGATTCTAAGGGACCACCTTTCACTTGCTAGGTAAGCATGTTCAAACCAGAGACTATTCAGATTAATGAAGTGTTCTATTAACAATTTTGATGACACTCTGGCAAACCTCCTAAAAACAGTAATGCCCTTAAGAGTTTCACCTGTATTTTTTGTTGTGATTGGCCTGGAATGGGATTCCCCACCCACCTCTTTCTTCTTTTTACATCTGCCTTCATTTTATTTTATTTCACTCAACTTGCACACTTTATCCCTTGAAGACTTAAGGTAAGACACTACTGTCTGTTTACTATAAATTATACTTAGTATATATTTTTTAAATGTCGTTATAACTGGTACAATTATCAGAATAATTTCACTTTAAAGCTGCCTACCAAGAAAGTAACCTTTGAATTAGTTATTTAATGTACATAATCTAGTCTCCTGTTAAATATAAACTACTAGATAACAGACCCCAAATAATATACTAATCATACTTAAAGTATCTTAAACATATTTTTGAGTTGAATAATTTGTAATTGCTTAGGACAAAGACATTTTAACTATTTCTTTTAAAATAATTTCAGATTGACATATACAAAAAATTACTGTATATGTTCACCCAGGTTTACCAAATGTTAACATGTGAATTCTAGAAGGTAATCATTTCCATAGGTTTCCATTTTTATTAGTAATTTAAATTTCTTTTTGTAACAGTGATAATCTAAGCTTAACTTTACAGCTTATACGTCAGCTATAGAGTAAGGAACGTAAGTTATCTATTCTAAAAGTGCTTGGATATGTGTTGAGATATCATACTGTTTTCAGCAACCATTTAGACACTTACTCATAATCCTTAGTAAATGTCTTTTATTTCAGGACCAACCGTTAGAAAATTACAGGTTCAATCCAGATAGGTGATCAAAGCAATGAATTATATGCAACCTCTTGGCTTGGTGTTTCCTCATGTCAGTTTATTTTAAATGTCAATCATTTAACAGTGGACTGGAGGTATAGCTCAGGGGTAGAATGTTTGCTAAAAATGCAGGAGACCCTGGATTGGATCCCTAGCATGATGAAAACATAAGAAAAGAACAATGTTAAAAGAGGTCTTTGGCCAGTTACATGCTTGGACTGCTAAATGCTAATGCTGGGGTTGATCTTCTGTGAGGAGAGAAAAATCTAAATGCTCTTTGCCCTCTTTATATAACTGAACTCTTAATGTTCACTTCCAGAGCAGCAGCCGTTCACGCCTGGTGCACTGTGGACTCTTGTGATAATTATCAACAATAGCTTTCTTTGGATAACCTCCTACCTAAAGAAGACAGAAAATGATGGCTTGTGCTGAGTTTTCTTTTCATGTGCCAAGTCTACCAGAGCTTGCTGAAGGTAAAAACAATATTAACTTTGGATTTTTAAGAGCTGTTCTCGAGAGGAAATTAAAATATATATGTAGTTACTATTTATCTTCTACATATCTATATTTTACTTATTGAAATGGTACTTTTGATACAGAATTTTCCATTTCAGTATCTGCTGTTTTTGTTGAGAAAGACTAAAATTTTGTCTCTCCAAATAAACTAAACTCACCAATTGTGGATTATTGATGATACCAACTTTACACAATGAAAACAACTGTGTGATGATCACACTTTCCCATTTTTGCTTTAGCTTTTTACCAGTTATGTAAAGCAGGGGAGGAAAACTGAAGTCTCTCAGAATGTGGCTTTATTTAACAGCCTTTATATTCTATAGTAGTGGTTAACTGCTATATAAGTTCTTCCCTTATTTCTCAATGTGTTGTCCTGGGTAATTAATTTGTCGTCCTGGTAAGATTAAAGGGAAAAAAAATACTCATTTTTGGCTTTCTTGTGGTTTTCCTTTTATAGCCTTCCTGTTTTATTTTTTAATTGATGGTAGCTAGTAAATAATCTGTGGGGCTAACATTCTTTGGTCTGTATTTCTTTTCTATAAGTCTTTTGTCTTCCCAGATTTGACAGGACAGATAGGAACTTTTTCTTTGAGTGCCTTTCTAGACTAATATTCTCTTGTATTTTTATGTTTTTATTTTCCTTCTATATGTACAGAATACTCAGAACAAATACAGATGTAGGCTTAAGCTTCTTGACTTATAATTCAGAAAATCTTTTCAAGAATTTGGTCCCTTTTTAATTGGTGAAAAGTAGGTTTTGCTATATTTTCACATATTGAATCTTAATTATATATTCATAAGGCATTCAACATGGGGGAATTTTCCAATTGATTTAATTTTTGTCCTTAACAGATAAAAGATTTGGTATGAAATATCTGATGACTTCACATTTTCTGAGTCTCACTATAAAAGACTGAACTTCTGGGTGTGGTGGCACACGCCAGCACTGGGGAGGCTGAAGCAGGAGCATCACTGCAAGTTCTAGGCCAGCCTGGGGTCCATAGTGAGTTCAAGGCCAGCCTGAACTACACAGCGAGACCCTGTCTCTAAATAAATAAATGAATGAATGAATGGATGGATGGATGGATGGATGGATGAATAAATGAATAAACAAACAAAATTTTATAAGAACTCTTTTCTTAGAAAAAAAAAAAGAACTGCTTTCTTATAAATTGGGAGGGGGTGGTTGAGACAGGATCTCACTATGTAATCCAGGCTGGGCTGGAACTGTAGACCCTTCTGCCTTAGCCTCCTGAGTGGTAGAATTACTGGGATGTACACTACTCTTAAGTGTATAGCTTGCTGAATGTTAAGATGTGCTTACATCCATACAACTACTTTCCAGATCAAAATATAAAATATTTTCAACATCCCAGAAGCCTCGTTCATGGACCTTTCCATTCAAGGGCACTAGAAGAAGTTACTTAGGTTAATTCTTACTTTTATCACCGTAAGTTAACCTGTATGTGAAATACAGAAAATGAAGCGATAGAATCTTTACTCTTTTGTGTTTGGCTTTTTTTTCTCAACATTTTGTCTGTAATCTTTCTTGAAGTTGTTGCAAGTAATTGCTTCCTTTTAAAAGATTTACATTTCAATATGTTTTTGGAATCTGCTCTCCCAAAGGAAGATAGTCCTTATCTGCATGCAGTCTATTTATCCTATTATTTATAATCACTGTAGATATTTGTGTCTTTGTCTACTTGTATCTTCTGATTTTATCTAATTATATTCATTGTATTCATGAGACCATTCTCAGCTGAGAGTAACTCTGGTAGAGCATGTGCTTAGCTTGCTCAACGCCCCAGTTCTATCTCCAGGACCACCGAAAGAAACAACAAAACAACTCAGCATTCTCCCTTCTTTTTTAGTATATAAATTTAGGTTGAGAGTGTGACCTACAGAAAATCTGAAGGAAGATTTTATATATGGTGCCTAATTTTTACCTACAATTAAATAACCATTTTCATGCCTTTGTTAGTTATGCAGAAGGGGTTAAAAGATAACTTTGCTGAAGTCCAGGTCTCTGTCGTTGACTGTCCTGATTTGACTAAGGAACCATTTGTCTTTCCTGTAAAAGGTAAGTAGTCCTTAAAATATTCTTTTGGTTTTCAGTGAAAATATTTTTCTGAAACCAGAAATATTTTTATCTACAAATAAATAATATCCCAACTTTTCAGCCAAATATTGCTCAATTTCCATGCTCATGCTGTTTTCTGATGTTGGTCAAATTTCATTTTATACCTTTGTGGGAAAAGATTGTGTTGTATGTACTTTTGTAAACTTCACTGCTTATATAATATTCAGTACACTAGACTCTGATATCACATGATTTTTTAAAATGAGTTTTGTTTGTAATTGCTGAAATAACTGCTAGGAGAATTTTACTTTATTCAAGCTCTACCACTGAGCTGTAGCCCCAGCCCCAAGACTGCTTTTTCTCAAATAAAAGCAATTTTTCTACTCTTCATTTTAAAAGAAGTGCCTTCTCCCAAACTACATCTGGCTGTACCAAGATAATTAGGCAAATAGAATGCTTCGAGTGAAAGAGAATGTTCTTAGTAGGTTCAAGGCCCTGGATTTAATCTCTAAACCGCCCCCCCCCACACACAATCTAATTACTTGTCATTTATAGAAATAGTCTTGAAATAAGCAGCTTACAATATTTTCCAGTATGGACCTAAAGAACACATATTCTACCAGAGCACAATAATTTAAATTATGAAACAATTTTAAAAGAAAAAAGCCAGCACTCCCCCAAAAAATAGATTTTGAAAAATTAAGGCATTGCAACTAACTCCAGATACCTTCTCCAGGCCAACTTTTGGCCTCAATTCTATTTTTTTTATTTTGTTTTGTTTTTCCAGTACCAGGAATCAAACTCACGACCGCACGCTTGCCAGGCAGGTGCTGTGCCGCTGAACTAAATCCCCAGCCCTTGGCCTCAATTCTAGCTTGTGCACTGTTAACAACTTTCATTTGCCTTTACGCTACCCACTACCTCAAACCATGCTTGGTTATCATGACATTGGAGACATAGATAGGCAGTCAAAAGAAGATAGAAATACTAGCTACTTACATCTTCCAACTTTTACTATTTAAAAACTTTAAGAATGAAAAAAAAAAAAAACTTTAAGAATGAAAGTTATATACTCTTAATAAATTAAATTGATTATCTTCTGGCATTTTATATTTCAGTTTTTTGCTTGCCTATTTTTAAGATGACTTCTGTCTTTTTAGGCATCTGTGGAAAAACTAGAATTGCAGAAGTAGGAGGTGTGCCTTACTTAATGCCTCTTGTAAACAAAAAAAAAGTAAGTGTACTTTTATCCTTCACATTCACATGAAGATTTTTCCTGTTTATTAGAAGGTGCATTAGTCAATATTCTGGGCAAGAAAGTGCTAATGGACTCAGCTGAAAAGAAAACCAAGAAATTTGTTTAAGATATGATTTAAATAATTTTTGCCTGTATAGGTTTATGATCTGAATAAGATTGCAAAAGAAATCAAGCTACCTGGAGCTTTTATTCTTGGAGCAGGGGCAGGCCCATTTCAGACTCTTGGATTCAATTCTGAGGTTGGTATATACATATAATTATCTATTTTATTGACTGGACATTTGATTTGCCTTTTTCCTTCTACTACCCTTTCAAAAAGCATACTTTAGGGTGAACTATAAATGGTTGATGTCATAGCTCCCTAAACATTTGACACTATTTGACACATACCTGAACTGTAGCACATGCTTCTCAGGGCAATAGGTTTGGCTTTAGATGAATCCAGAGCCTTGGGTATTTGGCTGAAGGCTAATACAAGGAGTTTTGTTCATATATGTCATATGTTCCTTACTTCTCTGTAAATCTTTGCTTTTGGTATGAAAAATGCTTGGATTAAAAGATGAATAGAGTATTTAATGATCTAATCTGAAATCAAGACAAATAGTAGGAACTTATCATAGTAATACTGTGGTTATTTATAGCAGTTAATACCTACTACTACTATATATCATACAAATCCTATACTATATATGATATATATATTAAATAGTATATTAACATGAAAATATGTATATTTTATTATAGTCAATATTGTAATGTTATTAGTATATATGAATATATAATATATGAAAGACATTAAAATGTTTTAAACTCTGAGATGAAACTTTTTTTATACTATTCAAAATATTGTGTGTACTGATTAACTAATTAGCTTCTTTTCTTTTCAGTTTATGCCAATTATTCAAACAGAAAGTGAACACAACCCCCCTGTGAATGGAAGTTACTTTGCCTATATTAACCCTGCAGACGGAGGGTACCTACTAGAGAAATACAACAAGAAATACCATGATTTTGGATGTGCATTGTTGGCTAATCTTTTTGCCAGTGAGGGTCAATCTGGGAAGGTGATTTTGTCTAAAATAAAGAGTGTTCTTTAAATGTTCCCAGATAGCTAAAAATTTGATTTTTTTTATGCTAAATGGGGTCTTAAGGAACTCAGAGCTACTAAAATCAAAGCTCTTTACATAACCCAGTTATACAAGATGCAGGATAGTGCAGACAGCATGAAAGTGTTATTTAAAACTGAAGAGCAGCACTTAGGAAGCAATAGGTTTTTCTGAGTAACTGAAAAGTAACAAAATACTAATTTAGTGAGTCACTTAAAAGAACCATGAGGCTAAAATAAATAATGCCTGCCTGTGAGCAGTAAATAGGTGATTTTCTCATTTCTGGCTGATCACAGATTAAGCTGGATAGAAATGATGGTAGCAAAAACTTATATAGCAAGCAAAAATACATGGAGAATTAACACCTTACTTTGTTTTCTTCCTTTTAGGGTTCAAAAAGATGATTTTAGTGTTAGCACTTGTGAGGAGTCCCAGAGTTTGTAAGTAGAGATAGCAACTTCAGCTAACTTAAGAAATAAAAATACTTAATAAAGTAGAAGAAACTTGGTCCATAGTTTTACAGGAAGTGAGAAAATGGAATCATTTCTCCCTCGTCTCCATTTAACAGAGGTTAATTCCTTTAAGCCAGGGAATTCTCAACTTTTTCTACTTTCACATATATAGTTTAGAGTCTCTAGAGTTCAATATAAGACTCAGTTCAGGAAAGCATAAATAAGATTATTGAAGTTATATGTAATTGATAAGTTTGTGTAGATATACATGTCAATTCAGATCTGGGTATGCTGAGCAAACAAGAGAATACTTTGTGGCATTTTGTTATATAATGTTACAGTTGGGCAGTATTTGCATAAAATTTTACAGCTTACTAACTAGTGTTTATGTTCTGTGTAGGTAATTGAGGTAAAAGCCAAAAGAAGAACTGGACAACTTAACTTTGTGACTTGTATGAGACAGACTCTGGGAAACCATTATGGAAACAAGCCTGTAGGGATGGGAGGAACTTTCATAGTTCAGAAGGGAAAAGTAAAGGCTCATATTATGGTAAGGGCTAGAGTGTATTCTTGCACATGAGTGTTGGGTGCATGTGGTTACATTCTTAAGATTTTTAAGTATGTTGAGAATTTTCCCTTTAAAGAAATCCTGAACAAATTTTTTGCTAGGAGTTTTAAATGACATAGTGTAAATCATAGTGTAAGATAATGTCTAGGTAGTATTCTCTTTTATTTTTTGTTTGCTTGTTTTTTGTTTTTTTGAGACAGGATCTCACTATTAATCCAAGCTCGTGTGGAACTCACTGTGTAGCTCCGGGAACTTTCTTTTCAATGTGCAAAATCCCAAACTCAGTACTTAACAGACTTTGCAACTAAGATGATTATGATTTGGGAAAAAGAAACTGCATTATGGTGGCAGGCGTGGTGGCACATGCTTGTAACTCCAGCACTCAGGACTACAGAGCGCAACCCTGTCTCAAAAAACAAAAAAAGACAGAAATTGCATTATGAAAATTATAATCTTATGCTTCTGGATGCAGTGGCAAGCACTTGTAATCCCAACTGTTCTAAGGGCTGAGGCACAAGGATCATTTATACCTAGGACTTTGACACCAACCTAAGCAACACAGACCATCTCCAAAAATAAAAATAAATATGTGCTAAATATGTTAATAACACATTAAGTATGGAATACCATATGAAACCAGGATTAAAGCATTCAAGATTTTTTTATTTTATAATTTTTAGTAGTTGAATAAATGAAGTATGAAAATGACTCTTAATTTTTTAAGGGGGGAGAGTCTTGCTATGTAGTTCACAGTAATCCTGCCTCAGCTTCCCAAGTGCTAGGATTATAGGTATATACCACCACACCTGGCACCTAGCATCTTTTGTTGAAAAGGCTGTTGTTTTTTCTTGCTGAATGGTGTTGACAGTCTTTGAAAATCATTTTACTCTACAAGCAAGAACTTCTTTCTGCCTTCTCTATCCTATCCCATTGGTCATGTCTGTCATCCCACCAGTGATGAGTGGTACTGTTTATTACTGTAAGCTTGTACTAAGTTTTGAAGTCAAGAAGTATGAGATCTCTAACTTCTTTTTCAAGATTGTTTTGAAAATTTCAGTGTCCATATATTCTGTACAAATGTTAGGATCAATTTTTCTGTTAAAAAGTCATCAAGATTTTAATAGGGGTCAGGCATGGGGATGCATGCCTGTAATCCCAGAACCTGAGAGGCTGAAGCGAGAGGATCCTTGTGGCTTGGAGGCCAGCCTGGGCTACATAATCGAGTTCAAGGCAAGCCTATGCTACATAGTGAGACCTTGTCTCAAAAAAAAAAAAAAGAAAGATTTTAATAGGGATTGAACTGAACTGTTTCTTTGTTTTTGTTTCAGTGCTTGGGATTGAACCCTGCATATAATAGGCAATTAGCAGGTGCTGTAACACTGAGCTGCGCCCCTAGGTCCACAATAAATCATTAGATAGCTTTGGGTAATATTGATATCTTAATGTTGTCATCCAATCCCTCAAGATGATGTGGGATGTCGTTCCACTTACTGCAGTCTTTCACTTTCCTTGCAGCATGGTTTTATAATTTTCAGTGTGTAAGTCTTTTACTAGCCTGGTTAGGTTTAATCCTACAGTATTTTGTTCCTTTTTTCAAGCTTGTACTCAATTATAGTGCCTTATTTTCCTCATGCCATCCCCTCATTACTGGTAGCAGTAGGAGGTTTAATACTGGAATGAAAGGGAGGAGGTACAGTTAAGTGGTAGACTGCTTGTTTGTCTAGCATGTATGAGATTCTGGGTTCAATCCCATGTATCATGAGAAATATTTTTTTAAAGGTTAGAATGTGGACATACAAAAACTGGGTCTATGAAAAATAATGAGCTGGGGACACAGTTCAGCAGTAGAGCATTTGCCTACCATATGCAAGGCCTTAGGTTCAATCCCCCAACACAGGTAAAAAAAAAAAAAAGAAAAAAGATAAACATAGTATTTGACTCATTCCTTCATTTATTCTTTCCAGAGCTTTAATTATACACATTGATTGGTTATCTTTTTGAAAACTAGGTTATATTATTTAAATTATGCCGAAGTCAGTAGAATGTGTAAGAAAGTTTCAAATTTTTAACTTAATGAAATGTATTTTTAAATGTTTAAGTTCCCAGTAATATTCTGTATGTTTACCTGTTTAACTGTTTTTCATTATAGCCCACAGAATTTTCTTCTTGTCCGTTGAACTCTGATGAAGAGGTAAATAAATGGTTGAATTTTTATGAGATGAGGGCTCCTCTGGTTTGTCTACCAGTTTTTGTCTCCAGAGACCCAGTAAGTCTTATTTTTTATATTATTATTTATTATATT